TCCCGTAAAGATTTACACCCTCGGAAACCCTGTACAGGGTCGCTATGGGTCGGAACCGACTCGACGGCACTTAACAACAACAACAACAATTAAAAATATATATCCTTTCTCATTCTTGTTGTTATTTTGTGCCATCAAGTGGATTCCAGTTTAGCAATCCTAAATGACAGCAAAACTGCCTCATATAGTTTCTGAGGCTGTTTTATGGAAGCAAACTGCTACAACTTTCCCCCATTGGAGTAGTTGGTAGGTTCAAACCACTGATCTACTGAGCACTTTAACCAGTATGCCATCCTTTTCTATATTTGGGGACATTACTTCAAAAAATCCTATCTATAAAAGTTAATTTTGGAGGATTCCTAAGAAAAATGTTATGTTCTTAAAGAGCAGCTCATATTTTATTTCCATGTAATGTTCTTAAATGGACCACAACTAAAACCTATGTCTTAGAATTCCAGGCTTAGAATTTCCATGTAGTATTCTTAAATGAACCACAATTAAAACCTATGACTTAGAATTCCAGACTGATTTTTATTGTAGATAGTGGACTGTTTTATATATATTCAATATATTATATATGTATTCAGTCTAGCATCGGTGTTCCAATTCCTCTGGGAAGAAAGATGGCTCTAGAAACCAGATTAACTAGTTGGATATTTTTGTTCCTAAAAAGCTGAAGAATAAATGTCTAACTTGATCCTGAGCTTTGTTTTCTAGAATAAGTAAATATATACCTGGGAGAAGGGAGTGCTCTTCAGGACAACATTCCAACAATAATTTCTGTCTTGGAGATTCGCGAATTAGCTGCCAAAATCGAAGGCTTGGCAGTCTCTCTACTTTCTGCTAAATATGCTGTTGACTTGCTCAGGCCCACAGAGCCTGAACCATAGGGAAAACATGTAGTTTTTTATATTGTCGATTCATTTGAAGGTGTGTTTCCCCATACAGTCAGAAAATATCTGTTAAAAGGTGAATACTTCTAGCTAGGCAGGTCAGTGACTCCTGTCAATCCACTCTCTAGTTTTTTAAAATAAATACTTTATATTAGTACATAATCATAATGTATTACATTACCATCAACATCCTAGTGACAGGGTTAAATAGTACTTCATCCATATAATATTTTTAGTCCTGGTGTGGTGCTGTAGAATACACACTGGACTGTTAACCTCAAAGTCAGTGGTTCCAACCCACCAGCTTCTCCTCAGAAACCCTATACAAGGTCATTATGAGTCAGAACCAACTCAACAGCTGTCAACATCATCTAATGTCTTAGGAATTTAACAACTGTTGCTTTTGTGACCAACTTAATATATTGGTCTCTGTGATTTAAAAAAAAAAAAAAAAAAATGGCAACAGTAATTTTCAGTGACCCTGAATCTTCTTGCATGTGGTTTCCCTCATCATCCCATATGTTGCCTTTTCCCAGTTGTTTCAAATCACTGGAATATGATCAGTGTTTTTCTCATTTTTGCCTAGTATCGCTTTACTCCAAGGTTCTCCTAAACTTTTCATGTTCTTAGGTTAGTTTGGTGTTGTTGTTAGGTACCTTCAAGTCAATTCCACCTCACAGAGACCCAATGCACAGCCGAACACATTTCTGCCCAGTCTACAACAGCCTTACAATCGTTATTATGTTTCAACCTATAGTTGCTGCCACTTTGTCAATCCATCTCCTTGAGAGTCTTCTTCTTTGTCTCTGACCCATCACTTTTCTAAACTTGGTTTCCTCCTCCAGGGACTGGTCCCTCCCAACAGCATGCCAAAAGTACAGGAGACAGAGTCTCATCATCCTTGCTTCTAAAGAGCATTCTGGTTGAACTTTTTTCAAAGCAGATTTTTTACTCTTCTGACTGCTCATAGTACTTTCAATAGTCTTCTCCATAATTAAAATGCATTGATTCTTTTAGTTTTCCTTATTTCTGGTCAAACTTTTACATGTAAATGAAGCTGTTGAAAACACCATGGCTTGGGTCAGGTGCACATTAGTCCTCAAACTGACATCTTTGCTCTTCAACACTTTAAAGAGGTCTTGTGCAGCATACTTGACTAATGCAATATGTTGTTTGGTGTTTGATTTCTTTACTACTGCTTCCATGAGTATTGATTATGAATCCAAGCTAAATGAACTCTTTGTCTCAGAGATACAGAAAACAAATATCTACCTCAAAAAGTGTTTATTCAGACTCTTATAAATTCAGATATTTATGAGCTGCAACAAAAACAGTAAAGTAAAAGATAAACTCTTCACATAATCACATGACTATTTTTAGGACTATCTATTAATTTTATTTTAGAGCCTGGAGTGAGACGCTGTAGGGTAAGCACTAGACCGCAGGATCTGTTTGAACCACAAGGTCAGTAGTTCAAACTCACCAGCTGCTTCTCAGAAACTATATACAGAGTTGCTATGAGTCAGAACAGATTAGACAGTATTTAACAATAACATTAATTTGTTTTAAGGAGCCCTGGTGAGCTGGATTGCTAACCAAAAGGTTGTTGTCAAATATACCAGTCGCTCCTTACAAGAAAGATGATGCTTTCTGCTCCCGTAAAGATTTGCAGCTTCAGAAACCCTATACAGGGTCATTATGAGTTAGAACCGACTCAGTGGCACACAACCACCATGACCACTGTCACCTGTTCTGTATATAATTGAAGCAACACAGATGTCTGTCGTGCATCTTAAATTATTATATGTTGATTATGTATGTAATATAGAAATAGCAAGAAAAGGATTATATAGAGTAATTATAGCTTTCTCACACATAGAAAACCCCAAGATAATACTCATAGCATACCCTAAAGAGTTACCATATTTAAATTGAGTTTTATTATAGTAAAAGAAAGTGGGTTATGAACTGGGCCGCTAACTGCAAGGACAGTGGTTCAAATCCACCAGGTGTTCCATGAGACAAAGATGAGGCTTTCTGCTCCCATAAAGATTTACAGCCTTGGAAACCCTATACAGGGTCACTAAGTGTCCGAACTGACTCGATGACATTTAACAACAACAACATTAATTTGTTTTAAGATTGCTCAGCTTTTCTTTAAGGTATAGATCCAGGTGTCCAGGCTTATCTTCATGGATCCAAAACAATTTCCTAGATTTAATTGGCCCTGGGGCAGAATCTGATGTGGTCATGGAAGAAGGGAGCGATGACAATGACAGTGAAAGGAACAGTGGCCTCATGGATGACATGGAAGAAGCAATGGTCCAAGATGCTGAGATGGTGATGGCGGAGTGCCAGAATGACAGTGGGGAAATGCAGGATCCAGACCAAGACCATGAGGACTCCAACAGAACCATCAGGTGAGGGAGAGTGTCTCAGTCTCTTTCAAAGAGTAGAAACCCAGTGATTGGTATTTTTTAAAGCTATTTGATATTTCATTCTTCTATAAATTGAGAGAGTGTGTTTAATTCATTTATATGAATGATCTGCATTCTTTTCTTGAGAAACTTTGCAATTGTGAGGTCTGGAATCCATTAGAGGAGTGTCCTTTGCATCCTTTTCTAGCATTGACTCATTCATTGGCCCATCTTCCTTTGCATGTAAGGGATATGCACATTTGCTATCCAGAAATTTGTTACTGAGTTAGTATTTATTCACAGCTCATGGTGAGGAATTACAAAGATCAGGGATCAACTACAGCAGACACCATCTTTTTTATAATTGGCCCCTCTTACAAATATCACATTATGTCTGCGCCTCACTGAATCTATCATTTCATTTTTGTGATCTAATCATCCACTATCTTTGATTACTAAATTACTCCCATTTTTTTATATCTGGTCAGCAAACAATTGTCACCAGGCACAACTGGCTGCTGCCTATTTTGTAATAAAGTTTTATTAAAACACAGCCACAGCCAATTTGCGTTGTCTATAGCTGCTTTTGCACTACAATTGCAGAGTTAAATATTCTTTAAAGTCCAAAATATTTATTTTCTGATGCTCTACAGAAAAGGTTTGCTAATCTTTGAATTTTATTATAAAGTAGATTCAAACTTTTATTTCCATTTTGGTAACGGTATATTCACTGGCAAACTGAAATAGTTCATAAGAGTAGAGTAATAAAATTATTTAATTTTTAATATTTAATGGCATAATGAGTATTTTTAAATACTAGAAAATATTAGTGTTATGTCTCAACCTTCTTGTGCAAATGTACATTTCTTTAGTACCAAAGAATTTTGGAGGATGCATATATATGCACTTGTGCATGGGGTAGGGGATGAGAGAGAAAAGGAGAAAGACTGAAAGATCAAAATAATTCCATGAGTATGTTTTATTAAATGACAGTTTACATAGTAGAGTCTAATTTTGATGAAATTATGCAAAGACTAAAATTCATATCAGATAATGTGATCTATAAATGACTTAATATTTTTCCCATGATAAATGATTTTAAAAGCTTAAATATGTGATTCTGAATACAACGGCCTCATACACTATGACAGTAATATCTCTGTCTACCTGAACGTTGGACACCTTATGGTTCAATTATGCACTAAGGTGCTTATTCTTCCTTGGATTCTTGCAAGTTACATAGACAAAGTGCCTATCATTAGTCACAATCAACTTGATGGCAGTTGGTGGGTTTATCTCTCTTCACAGTAACCCAGATTCCAAACTCTGGTGTTTGAAAAACCATTTTATATTTCACTAAAAATGAAATCTGAATGTTTTGGCTTTCATTTTAAAAGAGCTGAAATAAAGCTTTATGCATGAAAATAAGATATGTATCTAAAAACATTTCCTTCCCCAAATATTTTGACTTTCCAAGTCCATCAACAAGCAACAATATCCCACTCATGCGAGTAGTGCAGTCTGTCAAACACACGAAGAGGAAAAGCAGCACAGTCATGAAGGAAGGATGGATGGTCCACTACACCAGCAAGGATGCGCTGGTAAGTTCTGCAGGGAGCACTTACAACTGTGAGGTGACTTGCAGAAGTTGCTAATACTCTTGAGGTCTGTGGGATGTCTGAGTTTCTGGGAGCAGTCTGGAGACCAGCCATCAGACAGGATCACGGGGAGTATATAACCAGTCTGAGTGTTCAAATGTAACCAAACAATCAACTGAGTAAGGAAAAAAAAAACAATGTAGAAAGAAATTTCAGAGGAACAAGATAATTTGGAATTCTGATGTGGTACTGTATGATCAGTATTGGACTCCTAACCATAAGGTCAGTGGTTCAAACACACCAACTGTTCTTTGGAAACTGTATTCAGGGATTCTGGGTTGAAGCCTACCTGACATCACTGAACAACAACATCGTTTGCCTCTATTACTTAAATGATCACCAAACTAGGTGAATGTCTGCTTGTCAGGTTAGAGCAGTTGTGAAAGTCACAATATGCACTTCCAGAATGCTCTTTTGTAGTTCACAGTTTTAAATGGAATGCCACATTTTAGAGAAAAAAAATCAAGTTTCGACTTGCAATATAATATTAAAGGATCCTATAAGCAAAATGTTGAATGATGCTGCTGCTATTCATGAGGTTTTCAGTGGCTAAACATTCAGAACAGAAGTAGTCTGCCTCTTCTTCCTGGTCAGTCGTAGACTGGAAACTCCACTAAAACCTGTCTACCACACATGACCCTGCTGGTATTTCAAATACCGGTAGCATAGCTTCCAGCATCACAGCAACATGCAAGCCACCACTGCACGACAAACTGACAGATGAGTGATGGTGTGTAGTAAATAGAAAATAACACATGTAAAATTTTTCATTTAATCTGAGGGTGTTCGTTAGTCCAGATCTTCCTGATTGTTGAGGATAGAGGTGGAATATGTGTGTTAAGGTTACATTAATTAATAGTTAATGATAACTATTGTTTATCAGCTTGTTTCTCAGTCCCTGAAAGTTTTCCAGAGACCTTGAGGTGCAGTGGCTAGTGAAGCTGATTTGAGCCTACACGTTTCTCCATGGGGTAAAGAAATGGCTGTCTAGTTCCATAAAGATTTACCATTTAGGAAAGCCTATGAAACACTTTTACTCTGCCTGTAGGGTTACTATGAGTCATAATTAATTCAATGACAGTTGGCAGTGCTTCCCTCATCCTATAGTAGACTCATGATTTCTTTAGATAAATACTTGGGGGCTTCAAAAAGTACATGGGAAAAAAAATGAAATTAAAACAATGGATTTTTCCCATGAACCTTTGAAGCCTTCTCGCACAAGCAGACAAATGTTCTCTACGTTTAAAACGAGATCAGTTCCAAAGTGTAACTGAAAGTCAATTTTGTAAGTAAGTCAGAACTGGTGCTTATGGCTCTTATTTAACCTTACTTAGTGGCAAAGTGGCAGCATCAGTGGGCTCAAGAGTGGCAACAATTGTGAAGTTGGCCCAGGATTGGGCAGTGTTTCGTTCTGTTGTGCACAGGGTTGCTATGAGTTGGTACTGACTCGACGGCAACTAATACCAGCAACAAGTGCAAGAATAGAATAGGGTCAAAGTCTTTTTAATCATTAGAAAACTGCGCTTACAGCAAGTGAAGGTGATTGTGGTAAAAAATCTGTTTCATAGGTATTGGTTCAATTGTTTCAAAGTTAGGACAAGTCAGTTTTCGGTCAATGGATGTTGACTGTAATGTAAGCTCAACCTTTTTTGTTGGAGAAAGAGCTACATGACTTATTGAAGGACTCAATTGAATATCATCTAGTTTTAGGTAGATATCACATAAAATACTTAAAGTGTTTAACAGACCCTAGAAGAGTTGTAGAGGCAACCTGGAATAACACTGGGGCATTTTGGTCTTAAAAGATGAACACATACGTTTATATATACACACACACACACTAAAATCATGAAAGATACCTGGATTTAAAAAGGAACTGACTAATAAATCATAGAAGATAGATCTATAGAAAGCTAAAGAGAGGACAGAGGTTTTTTTTTAATATTTTCCCTGACATTGTTGATGCCAACAGAAAATTTCCTAGCTTTGTTGTAACATTCAGAATTCTTCCATCACTATTGGGAAGCCAAAATACCTGGTTGAATTAGCATGGCATTTCTTATGTTCTTAAATGAGCATATATCAACATTGTATCTCTTGTTGAGCCTTTTTATTTTATCACAGATGATAAATTCCTTCCACAAATCTTCAAGCAGCCAACTAATCTTTAGAATTATGTTTTTTAATTACTGTGAATATACTTCCAGACACTGCACTACTTGCTAGCATGTGCTCTCCTTTGTTATTCGTACCCTGTAATATAGAAACAGACACTTCTCTCAGGACATTTGTTAAATAGTCAAATTGTAGTCTAAAATTGAGTGTGGGTCTGCCTGGCCAAAGCCCAGGTCATTTCTATATCAAATGCTTTGCTACCATTAAGAAAATGTTTTGGTTTTATTAATCTGGGGTATTTAATTTTTAAAAATAATCCTGAATCTAATTTCCATTTCAGAGAAAACGGCACTACTGGAGATTGGATAGCAAATGCCTTACCCTCTTTCAAAATGATACAGGAAGCAGGTACTACAAGGTAAGGGTGGCTGTTGATTAGACTCTGTGTCTTCTCTTTACTAGCAGAAAAACAATATGCATAGCAAGAAATATGATTGTTTATGTGTTTTCTCCAGTATGTATTTTTTGTCTATGTATTATGCAAATTTCTGGGGAATCGGGTTGTGACCTCATGATTCATCTGTGAATTTCACATTCTCCTGGGAAGTACTTCTGGTCCCATGAAATGATAGTGGGTAGAGGAAGTTCAATTTAGCATTTAGCAAGGAATGTGCGATTTAACTAGACAATATGAGAACACAAAAAATTGGCCCAAATTCTTCAGATCCATTACAGCCTGCTTTTCCTAGTATCTAGCCTTGCAGCATATCTCTTGTACTAAGAATTATCTTATAATTTTTTTCACACACCTCCAACAATAATGTTCTTAAGGAATATTTCCTTCTACAGAAAACTTAGGGAGCAATGTTCATTCTATCAACATTAAATAACTTAGATATAACATAATGAAGAGTAAAACATTAATCCTAAAGAAGTCCATAGTGAAAACAATAGACACTTGCTTTTTCAAAATCAGTCAGGCTCAGATATAGTTGATTTAATTCTCCTTGGCCATTATACTTAGGTCTAACTGCTGTGACACTGTAGGTTAACCACCACATGGTCGGTGGTTCAAATTGCTCCTCAGAAACCCTATATGGGATCTCTATGGGTCAGAACCGACTCGATGCACTTAACAAGAACAAAAACTGAACTGGTGTCCAGGTGTGGTACTGTAAAATAATACACTAGACCACAAGATCAGTTTAAGCCACAAGGTTGGTGATTCAAATTCACCAGCCTCTCCTCTGAACCCTATACATGGTCACTGTGAGTCAGAACCAACTTGACAGCACTTAATAACAACAACTAAATTGCTAATCACAAGGTGAGTGTTCCAAACACACAAGTTTCTTCATGAAAACCCTATACGGGGTTGCTAGGAGTCAGAATCGGCTGACACTTTATTAACAACAACTAAAATAGAAACCTCATTAATTTTTAAATGGAAGCCATTAATTTTTAAATTAAGATTTTTATTTTTTAAAATATAGTTTATTAGTAATTCCATAATTCTTAGAGGACATGTAATAATTGCCTTTTAGTCATTTCAAATTTGTTTTAAAAGCAGCTCATTTTAAAACCAATCTCTGTGGTGTACCTCATTAAAACTATTTATCCGTATCATGATATTCCACCACTCATCTGTCAGTTTGTCATACTGTGTGGATTTTAAGTTGCTGTGATTCTGAAAGCTATGCCACAGGTATTTTAAATACCAGCAGGGTCAACCATGGTGGACAGGTTTCAGATGAGCTTCCAAACTAAGACAGACTAGGAAGAAAGTGACGAACTACTTCAGAATATTTAGT